TGAGACGGATCTTGCTCTGTCGCCCCAGGCGGAGTGCAGTGGCCAGAGTCTCGGCTCCTGGCAAGCTCGCGCTCCGGGTTTAGGCCATGCTCCGTGCCTCAGCCTCCCGAGTACGCTGGGACTACAGGCGCCCGCCACTCGCGCCGGCTATTTTTTACTTTTTTTAGTAGAGACAGGTTTCAACCGTGTTAGCCAGATGGGTCTGCGATCTTGCCTGACCTCTTGCATCCCCGTCTCGGCCCCAAAGTGCGTGGATTACCACTACCCCCACGCCACCCCCAGTGATGTTTCAAATTGAAAATAGGGGGAAAAAAAGGAAAAAGAAAGAAGGAGAAAAGAAAGGAAAACATTTTTGGAGGAGCTTGTAGCGCAGAAAAGTTTTATATCATACAAATGTTGAATAAAAATAAAAATAAAAATTGAAAAGAATGACAAGACTAGAAATCTAGTAACAAAGTGTACTATATTTCATCTTGAAACAGTAACAAAATTTTTGTTTTTTTGTTTTTTTCTCTCTCTATCCCCATTTTCAGCAAAAACAAATCCATGTAGGAGTTGATTGTCTCCAAAAATAACTTTATCTTATGTTCCTGGATTATTGTGTATAAAGAGCGGCGTAAGAATGGACTATTTACCACATAGTCTTTGTGTATTGGGTTAGTGGAATGTTTTGTTTTATAGTTGTATAAGGGAATATGCAGAGTAAGACTTTGGTTTTGAAAGCCTTGGAGTTGTCCGAGCCCTGGTTGTTTGTGCTGTAAAGATTAACACCTATGTGATTGGGTTGTCTCCCCCGTCGTTGAGCCAATAGACTTGGCGGCTAAGCTGTTCGCGCAAAGTGAGCTAATTCTTACGGTTATCCACAGGGTCAGAACCCGTACAGGCACTGTGTAGGGACAAGGTGCCAGGTTTTTCCCTTAGGGGCTCTAGTTTGGTGCCCGGGTTCAAGTGATTCTCCTGCCTCAGCCTCCCAAGTAGCTGGGATTACAGGCGTGTGCCACCACGCCCAGCTAATTTTTGTATTTTTAGTACAGATGGGGTTTTGCCATGTTGGCCAAGCTGGTCTCAAACTCCTGACCTCAGGTGATCTGCCTGCCTTGGCCATCCAAAGTACTGGGATTACAGGTTTGAGCCACCGCGCCCTGCCAGATAAGCAATGTTTTAAGCAAAAAGTCATAAAAGGATTATTTCAGTCTTCTGTTAGTTCAGTCCATGCAGTTAATCCCTGTTCTGTTTGATATTCATGAACATTTCAGCTCTCCATGGGAGTCTTGGAAGTTTTTCCTCTAGTCTACTGTCACAGTCTCCAAAGTTATCAGAAACTTGCATTCAAGAGCACCTGTCAGAGCCCTATAGCTGATTATAAAAAACATCTTTTGAAAAGGAAGAAAGTAAAACAACTGTGGATGATAAAGTCTGAGAGCAGTCGTAGTTAAAGACACAATTGATAAGGAAATTTGGTTACTTCTGTGGCATACAACAATTTTACATAATAACCATAATTACTTCTTTTTTTTTTTTTTTTGAGATGGAGTTTTGCTCTTGTCACCCAGGCTGGAGTGCAATGGCGCAATCTCAGCTCACTGCAACCGCTGCCTTCTGGGTTTGAGCAATTCTCCTGCCTCAGCTTCCCAAGTAGCTGGGATTACAGGCACCCACCATGATGCCGAGTTAATTTTTGTATTTTTAGTAGAGATGGGGTTTCACCATGCTGGCCAGGCTGGTCTTGAACTCCTGACCTAAGTTGATCCACCCACCTTGGCCTCCCATTGTGCTGGGATTACAGGCATGAGCCACCGTGCCTGATCCATAATTACTTCTGATAACATATGCTAAGACATATCAGAATCACAGGAATTTCACACAATTCTGGAACACATAATAACACATTTATATAAATATAATCCAAAGAAGGTTAAACGCCATTTCATATTTGACAATACTTCCTGTATGACTGTATTATTTATCTCAAACAAGTCTAATATATCTCTTCTGGACTTCAGGGGACTAATAAAGAAAAAAATGCAAACCGAAGTTAGAATGTGCTTTTGGGGAGTTTGTCAAATATAAAAAATCTTAAAACACTTGATACTGATGGCAGTGGCTACGCCATCAGGTTGGCTGCAGCAGGGAGGCACGGCTTGGGCTGCACACACCGTGGAGCTGGTGGGAGCCCTGGGAGCCCTGGGAGCCCCACCTCTTCTGATTCCTTCCTTCGTTCCTGATTTTCAACCAAGAAAATCCCCAATCCGGCCACTTACCTAAGAACAGGTCTTAGGCGAAAGACTGCTCTCTACCATCCCAGAAGTAGGAAAAACTCAAACTTGCCTTCTCTGTTGGAAGCGAGCTCCAACTCCAGAAAGGAGTTACCTACCTTCCATCATCACGGAAGCAGGAAAACTTGCCTTCCTTGTTGGAACAAGTAAAACTCCAGAAAAAGGAGTTGTACAGTAAAATAAACTTTAGACGTTAACCAAATTTGGGAAGATCAGGAATTTTGTGGAATGTGGAGCGGGGCTCCCAGGCCTTAGGAAATTGTCCTATAGATTTGAGCCATAAAGATAGCTCAAGCTGGTACCAAGCACCGATAGGAGATCTGTCAAAGGTCAGGGGCACCTCCACTCAGAATCCTTTTGTGGTTGCTAAACCGTCAACCCAAAATATCTGAGACAGGTCTCAGTCAACTTAGAAAATTTATTTTGCCAAGGTTAAGGACGCATACATGACACAGCCTCAGGAGGTCCTGACAACATGTGCCCAAGTGGCCTGGGCACAGCATGGTTTTATACATTTTAGGGAGACAAAATAAATCAATCAATACGTGTAAGATTTACATTGGTTTGATCTGGAAGGGCAAGACAACTCAAAGTGGGAAACTTCCATGTCATTGGTAGATTTAAACATATTCTGATTGGCAATTGGTTGAAAGAATTATTATCAGTAGAAAGGGATATCTTGGTTAAGATAAGAGGTTGTGGAGACCAAGGTTTTACCATGCAGATGAAGCCTCCAAGTAGCAGGTTTCGGAGAAAATCGTAAATGTTTCTCATCAGACTTAAGTTTTGTGTTGATGTTAACGCTGGAGGGTATAATGAGGCATGTCCAACCCCCACTTCCCATTATGGCCTGAACCACCCTTTCAGGTTAAATTTTAGAGTACCTTGGCCAAGCAGGGAGTCCATTCAGATGGTTACTGGTGGCCTTCAAATTTTATTTTATTTTATTTTTTATTTATTTATTTTTGAGACGGAGTCTCCCTCTGTTGCCCAAGCTGCAGTGCAGCGGCGAAGAGATCTTGGCTCACTGCAACCTCTGCCTCCGGAGTTCAAGTAGTTCTCCACCCTCAGCCTCACCAGTAGCTGGGTTTACAGGCGCGTGCCACCACGCCCGGCTAATTTTTGTATTTTTAGTAGACATGGGGTTTCACCATGTTGGCCAGGTTGGTCTCCTACTCCTGGCCTCAGGTGATCCACCCACCTCTGCCTCCCAAATTGGCAAAGTGCTGAGATTACAGGCGTGAGCCACTGCGCCCGGCCTCTCCTTCTTTTGAAGACTGGGTCTCTAACAGCTTCTTAGGCCTGAAGGATCCTGACAGGGCCGGGCTGCACCACACTCCCTCGTGTTACAAATGGGGAAACTGGGGCACACAGCAGAGGCGTTTTTCCTGAGATCACACAGCCAATCAGGGCGAGAACTGAGAATCGAACCTAGATTTCTCCAGTCCATGTTTGTGATTCCGAGTAACTCATGTTATTTTAAATCGACACTTGTCTTAAGAACGTTCGGACGGGCGAACCATTGAGAGTTCCCGAGGGGCGAATACTCAGTTCTCAATAGATTCCTGCGGGAAAACCTGGCTGCGCCGGCGCGCGCGGGTGCTTTAAGGCAATCTGGTCACAGCAACCCACGTGTCCTCCGCTTCCGGGATCCTTAAGGCCGTCTTTTCGGGTGGTAAAACCCGGCCCGCCGTCACGTCATCTTGGGAAGTGTAGTTCCACCTTCCTCCAGATATACGGGCGTGGGCGACTTGGAACTGCATTTCCCAGCAGGCTGCGCTCGCCGTTAGAGTAGCCGGACGACGGGCTGGTGGGGTGAACCCCTCATCCTGGGTCTTTTAATTTCTCAGGCGGAACGAGTGGCAGCAGACAGAGGCCTTTGGCGGCGCTGTCTGTGGGTTTTCTGAGCTTGGGGAACTGGGTACGGAGACCGTGGCGCCGGCCGCCGGTCACCCAGCTCTGCTTCCAGTCGTGTGGCAAAAAGCTGAGGCGCTTCTCCTTTAATTGCGGTGGGCGGGGCGTGCCGACGCGGCCCGCGTTGCTATTGGTGGCCGTTGGGGGCGCGGAAACTGAACGGGCCGCAACGGCCACCGCCGCTGCCTTCGGCGCCGCCAGCCCGGCCATGGCTGCGCCCTGCGCGGTAAGCCCAGCCGACTGCAGCTCCCCAGGCCTCAGTCTCCCCGCTGGGACACTGGGCGCCTAGTGGCCAGAGCGATGGCTGCGAGGGGCGGGTGGGGCGCCAGGTTCCAGGGTGGTCCTCTTCAGGTCCAGTTTACCGTCTGTGCTGGGTCGGGCACTTTCTGAGCCCCTCCTGCGTGCCAGGCCCTGCGCTGGATTTCTGGAGCGAACAAACAGGCCTCTGCCTCCATCGTTTGCATCCTAGCGAGGGACACACGACCAAGTCCTGACTCGTGTGACCTGGGACTGGTATCGGGCCTCTGTAGTCATTCTCCCTGTCCTTAGCAATTGGTGGCTGCGTGGGGTCTTGTTGAGGGTACACCCTGCTCCAGCAGGGGGGTACAGCAGGACGCTGAGATGCCCGGGCCTGCGGTGTGAGCCGGGTGGAGTCGCCCTCTCTGAGTCCACATTCCTGCAGAGGTCCTCATTTCGAGAGATTCCTTTGAACCGGCCTGGCCTTCTGGCTGATAGGAGAGTCAGGGAGGCTGGGTGCCTGTGATGCCCTGAGGCGGCCTGGCCCTCTGGCCGATTGGAGAGTCAGGGAGGGTAGGTGGTAGCCTGTGATGCCCTGAGGCACTTGAGGACGTGGACGGAGAGTCCAGGCTAGGATACCGACCTTTTGACCCTTTTGACTCCTAATCTGGTACTCTACCTCCCTTCCTGCCCCCTTCCCCCCCCCCACCCCGTGTGTAAACCACTGTTGAGGGAGATGAGGCCCACATGCAGGGAGCTACAGAGGGGAGGCGGTGTTGAGAGATATCACGGGACCTACTGGTCAGGGGTGGACCTGAACTTGCCTCTGCCCGCTGAGCCTAGAGGCGGACACTTTCTTACCTATGTTCTTTCAAGAAGCTCAGGTGAGAGCAGAAGGCTCTTTTGGGGACCCTCCCCCAGCTACTTCTCCCTCTGTTGTTGAAAGGAGACTCTGACAGGTGCATTAGGGGTGGAGCTGGGCACAAGGCCATAGGGCCTTTGTTCTGGTTACTGCTGTGTAGGGTGGCTTTGCTATCCCCAAGGACATCCTTTCCCAAGAGGAGCCTTTGTGCTTCCTGGAGCACCCAGAGTGCTTCTTTGAGGTTTGTGATACTTAGTGTAGGGGGAGTTGTTTGGGTGGCTGAATTATAACCTTTCAAGTGTTGAGATCCTAGCTGCTATTGGAAGGACAGAGTCTCCGGAATATTCTCTCTGGTGTTTTCCTAAGCAATGTCCTGAATGGCCTTGCTGTTTCTCTGATGTTGGGTAGAGTAGAGTTGGTGGTGATGCCATGGGGACCTGTCCAGGGCTGACCTTTTGGGTTCACTGGCCAGTCTGTGGTGGCATTGAGGTGATAGGATCTGATTCCTGAGAAAAGGTTGGGGGATGCTGTAAGGTTCCTGTTTTCTCTCTCTAGGCTTTTAAAACATAACTTTATTAAGATATTTGTATACCATAGAATTCACCTTTTAAAGTGTACAGTTCAGTAGCTTTTAGTACATTCACAGTGTTGTGCAGCTGTAATCACTAATTCCAGAATATTTTCATCATCCCAAAAAGCAACTCCATACTCAATAACAGTCACGCCGCTTCTTCCCTTTCCCCATTTTCTCCCAACCCTTGGCAATCACTAATATATTAATACTTTCTGTCTCTATATATTTGACTATTCTGAACTTTTCATATGAATGGAATCAGACAAAATGTGGCCTTTGGTGTTTGACTTCTTTGACTTAGCATGTTTTCAGGGTTCATCCATGTTGCAGCAAGCATCAGCACTTCAGTCCTTTTTATGGCTGAATAATATTCTGTTGTATGAATATGCTACATTTAGTTTATTCAGTCATGTGTTGATGGACATTTGGGTTTATTCACTTGTTGGCTATTAAGAAAAATGCTGCTGTAAACATTTGTGTACCAGTTTTTGTGTAAACCATGTTTTCAACTCTTTGGGGTATTTACCTAGAATTTCTGGGTCATTTGCTAACTATGTTTAACTACTTTATTTTTTATTTTATTATATTTATTTTATTTATTTATTTTTTGATTAGTAGTCTCACTCTGTTGCCCAGGCTGGAGTACAGTGGTGCGATCTCGGCTCACTGCAACCTCCTCCTCCCGGGTTCAAGCGATTCTCCTGCCTTAGCCTCCCAAATAATTGGGACGATAGGCACCCACCACCACAGCTGGCTAATTTTTGTATTTTTGGTAGAGAGGGTTTTCACCATGTTGGCCAGGCTGATCTTCAACTCCTGACCTCAGGTGATCTGCCCGCCTGGGCCCCTAAAGTGCTGGGATTGCAGGCAGAGCCACTGTGCCCGGCTAACTACTTTTTTTTAGTCAGGGTCTTGCTCTGTTGCCTAGGCTGGAGTGCAGTGGTGTGATCACAGCTCACTGCAACCTTGAACTCCTGTGCTCAAGCAGTCCTCCCACCTCACCCTCCTGAGTAGCTGGGAATACAGGCACAAGCCACTACGTGTGCCTTATTCTTTAATTTTTTTGAAGGGTCAGGGTCTTGCTGCGTTGCCCAGGTTGGTCTTGAACCCCTGGCTTCAATTGATCCTCCTGCCTCAGCCTCCCAAAGTGTGGAGATTACAGGTGTGAGCCACTGCACTTGACCTATGTTTAACTTTTTGAGGAACTGCCAAATTGCTTTCTACAGTATCTGCTTTTTTTTGTTTTTTTTTTAAAGATCGTTTTGTTTTTTCTGGGTGTCTTGCATTTTCATGTGATTTTTGGGATCAGCTTGTCAGTTTCTGCAAAAAAGACACCTGGGATTTTGATAGAAATTATGTGGAATTGGTAGACCAATCTGAGGAGTATTGTAGTATTGTATCTTAACAATAGTAAGTCTTCCTGTTCATGAATATGGAATGTCTTTCCATTTTTTAAGTCTTCTTTCATTTCTCTTAGTGATGTTTTGTCATCTTTACTGGACAAGTCCTGTACTTCTTTTGTTAAATTATTCCTAAGTATTTTTTTATGTATCATAAGTTAAATAGTTTTATTTTTTGGATTATTCATTGCTAGTGTACAGAAAGACAATTGATTTTTGTGTCTTGATTTTGTATCCTGCAACCTTGCTGAACTCATTTGTTCCTTTTTGTTTTTGTTGAAGCGTTTCCACCGTTGATATATTAGTTCGAATAGTTTTTAGTGGATTCCTTAGGATTTTCTTTATATAAGGTCATGCCTTGAGCATTTTTAACCCCACCCCCCCGGCTGTTATAGGAAGAGTGCTGGCCCCGGGGAAGCCCCTTCCTCACCCAGGCTTCACACATTTGACCCTGGCTCTCCTCCAGGAGGACCCCTCGCTGGAAAGGCATTTTAAGGGCCACCGAGATGCAGTTACCTGTGTGGACTTCAGTATCAACACAAAGCAACTGGGTAAGAAGAGGCACCTTGTCTAGGTGCTAGGTTATGAGCCAAACAGGCCAAGTTTTTACCTTGGAGGTGTGGTGGTTGGGGAGCAGAGCACAAGGACTGCACAGCTTTGTCTAACCTGTGTCTTGCTTCTGTGTGCCAGCTCTTTGGGCACTGGGCTTCATAGCTCCATTTTACATGCAGAGCCTGAGGGTCAGAGAGGTTAGGGGCCTTGCTAAGGCCACACAGCTTTTGAGGGTGGGACTGGGATCTGGGTCTTTTCCGGCACACCCTAGCCACCTTTTGGGTCTGTCTTTTGGTGTGGGCCCTGAACAGTGACTCCTTTTCCTTGAAGCTTTATTGATTCTGTTGCCCACAGTAATAAGGCGCACCTTCTTGTTGAAGAGCCTTGTCGGTGAGAAGGCTGTTGAGCAGAGCCGGGCACCCCCCTCACTCCCACTGCCCTTATGCTGCAGCTGAGTGTCCCCCTTCCTTGGTTGCATAAGCTTTCGTACACAACTTTTATGACTGCACTTTCCAGTTCCCACAGAGGAGACTTGCCCCTTCATCCTGTCATCAAAGCCCTCTGGTGTGTAAAGGTTAAGAGGGAACTGAAGTCATTTTTGGTCAATTTTGGGGACCTCCTTTAGGCTTCATACTGAGTTGGACCCTCTCAATGGGAGGGGCTGGCTTCCCAGCCAGGGAGGACTTACTCTCTGGTGCCCTCAGGATGTATCTGGAGGGAGACCCCGGGCCCCATGGGAATGAGTTTTCCCAGAGCTCGGATTGCAGTCCAGGGCTGGCATGGAAGGGCCTCGGTCTTGTTCCCATGTGGGTGTGCTCCTTGGAGAACTCTGGGCCACAGGTTCTCCACCTCCAGACCACACCTCGAGATGTGCTCTGCTCTATGGGAGACTTCTCACGGTCCTGTTTGTGGATGCCAGGGAAGGTGGAGCTGGGCCAGTTGCTCCTCCTGCCTCTCCAACGTCTTGGTGGAGGCTTGAAGCCCGTTAGAGCTGCGGGTCATAGCATTACCCACTGTCCTCAGCCAGTGGCTCCATGGACTCATGCCTCATGGTCTGGCACATGAAGCCGCAATCACGCGCCTACCGCTTCACTGGCCACAAGGATGCCATCACCTGTGTGAACTTCTCTCCTTCGGGACACCTGCTTGCTTCTGGCTCCCGAGACAAGACTGTCCGCATCTGGGTACCCAATGTGTGAGTCATAGACTTAGAGGAGGCTTGTCAGAATTTGGGGCCCTGGTGCCAGAGCCATCCCCACCGAGGTCCCCTAGCTTGGCTCTGGACTTGTCACAGTGGGACTTCTACTCTGCTTTGGAAGAGGTGCCATCAGAGGCTGGGGCTGTAGTTGGAGCCCTCCCCTCAGGGTTGGAAGAGGAATTCTGGGCTGACCCCATCTATCCCTAAAGAAATGCCACCTGTTACTCTGTTCATGTAGGTGGAGCCTGGGGGCGGTGCTCTGTTCACATAAGAGAGGCTCTGGCGTTCCCTTGTGGAGACTGGGGTTCTTGGGCTTGGCTACCTTTGGGAGGGGTGCTTGTGGGCTCTCATGTCACTGTTATGGGTTTCCTCACTCTTGGATGCCTGTCCTTGTAGCAAAGGTGAGTCAACTGCGTTTCGTGCACACACGGCCACAGTGAGGAGTGTCCACTTCTGCAGTGATGGCCAGTCCTTCGTGACAGCCTCTGACGACAAGACAGTCAAAGTGTGGGCAACTCATCGCCAGAAATTCCTGTTCTCCCTGAGCCAGCACATCAACTGGGTCCGCTGTGCCAAGTGAGCATTGTTCTGTCTGGAGACCCTTGGAGGAACCCTGGGGATTGGGGGCTGGCACAGGGGCTTCTAGGTACCAACTTGTGACCTCGGGCAAGTTATTTAGGCATTGTGTAAGCTTCCTCAGCCTTGGTTTCCTTATCTGTAAAATGGGAACAATAATAGCTCCTGCATTGTATGTTGTTGAGAAGCTTCACAGAGCAGATGCATGACATGTAAGTTAGTCCATAGTCAGCCATGATGACCCTCTGACATCTGTGTTGGCAAAGCACAAACTGGGTCAACAGGGGCCATTTATTATCAAAAACAACAATTAGGTACTTTCAGTACTATCACTACACGTTTTCTTTTTGTCTCTTAAGACAGTTCTGCAAGCTAAGTGGTATCATTTCCATTTGAGGAAATGGGGGCTCAGAACAGTAGTATCTTGTCCCAGGGCACACGGTGGGTCTGTGGCAGAGCTGGAGTTTAAACCCAACTCTCTCTGACAGTAAGGCTTGCCTACTTTCCAATGGGGTGTTCTCAGAGGATGATTTTGCTCCAGAGCTCCCAGATAGGGGCCCAGGCTTCTGAGGTGGGGGGCTTATCCTGGAGGCTGGCCTTCCCGCCGGCCGGGGAGCCAGTGCTGTGCAAAAGGGGCCAGGTGACCCAAAGGACCTTTCAAGGTCCAAGAATTGCAGACAGATAGTCCTACTTCTAGCTTATTTGGTTCTTTTCAACAGAGCTTCCTCATGGGTCAAATATCTTTGCTTCAGAGGAAGGGTTTGGGGTACCAGGTGACATTAGGAGACCACATGAGTCAGAAGTTGGGGACTATTGAGCTGTGTTCTTCTGGGGACCCCATACAAGTTACTGTTCTCCAGGGCACCCCCATTCCTTTGTCCTAGGAGACCCCTGATGGCTCTTAGAGGCTTTATGATTAGGGTCCTGAGATCAGGAGGGGCCAGGACAGCCAACTTGGGTGTCAAGTCCATATTGGGCCTTTGGTGGCAGTCCCCAGGACCTCATGCCTTTTGTTGGCAGATTGTGTCTTGCTGACCCACACTTGAGTCAAATGTAGACTCGGAGGACCTGGTCCCAGAGTAATGACACTGATGGTGAGCTTTTGGCCACCTTTGTGCAAATGTTGCTGGCAGGCAGTGCCGGCTGCATGTTGCTATGTGCTGTGCATCAGGGACAGTGCTGGGGCTTTATGTGCATGAGGCTGCTCTGTGCTCACCCGTGAGGCAGGCACCATTTTTTTTCTTTTCTTTTCATTTATTTATATTTGGTTTTCCTCTAAGTCAGAAAGAACTTCTCTTTTTCCCTTTTGGTCAGAGTTTGCTGTTGGGGTGGGAGGGGGGCTGTTTGTGCATGAAGTTACGTAAGAAAACAAAAACAAGAGCAACAGGAAAGAACGAAACAAGAGCAACAGGAAAGAAGTTTCACAGATTCAGGAAGAAAAAAATAAAGGAAACATTTTTATAACATTTAAAATTAAGTCACAGGCCAAGCTTGAAGGCTCATGTCTGTAATCCTAGCACTTTTGGTGAATGAGGCGGGAGGATCCTTTGAGTCCAGGAGTTAGAGGACCAGCCTGGGCAACATAGTGAGACCCCCATCTCTACAAAAAAAATATAATAACAATAAATAAAATTAGCTGGGTGTGGTGGTGCATGCCTGTAGTCAAAGTTACTTGGGAGGCTTAGGTGGGAGGATCACTTGAGCCCAGGTGGTTGAGGCTGCAGTGAGCTGAGATCACACCACTGCACTCCAGTCTGGGCGACAGAGCGATACCCTGTCTGAAAAACAAAACAAAACCAAAACCAAAATTTAGTCATAGTTTCCTGAAAAGCTCTTTAGAAGGAGAAAAAGAAAAATGATCAAGTGCTAAAAGTTAACTATTCTCAGAAACAAAGTATAATTTAAGATATGACCAAATAAACAGAAGTAACATTGCCTCCTAGGATGCGATGCATTTGTTTCTGAAAAGACATATTAGGGTATTCAAATTAAAAAAAATAATAAATCACAGCAGGGCATGTGACCCCGGGTGGTTCCTGCAGGCAGATAATAGGCACTTGGGGAAGAGTGGCTGTGGAAGATGGTGTGTGGCACCCATGTCATCTGTTAGTCCGAGGTGTGACTTGTGCCCCACCCGGTTCAGGTTCTCCCCCGACGGGCGACTCATCGTGTCTGCCAGTGATGACAAGACTGTTAAGCTGTGGGACAAGAGCAGCCGGGAATGCGTCCACTCGTATTGCGAGCATGGCGGGTGAGTCTCCGGATGCTGTCCTCCACTTGTAGGCGCTGAAGCACAGAGCACAGACCTGGGCCTGAGGAGGCCCAGGGGCCTTCAGTGGCTGGAGCCGTGGAACCAGCAGCCTTATCACTGCTGCCCCTTGTCTGGTGCTTTTTGTGAGGTCTGGCAACCTAGCATTGTATCTCTTCCTGTGTGGATGGTCGCTTTGTCTCCATCCCATGAATAGCAGGAGTGCTTAACCTCAAGCCACACAATTCTTTGGAGCTGTGTAATTATTTGTGCTCCTCTTTTTCTCCTTCACTTTCTGGTTCTCAGGATTACAACTTGTCTGTCTGTGAGCAGTTGACACTCAGTTGCCCAAACTACATTTTAAAGCCTCTTGGTACGTTATCCATGGTGATGGCTTTACAAAATTCTCACTGGGTTCTTGTAGCAGATGGTGGCTGTTCATGTTGTGCCACATCATCAGGAGAGAGAGGTGCCCACATTTGAGTAGAGACCCCAGCTTCTGCCCTCCTTCATTGGGCTGGGAGCCACAAGGGCTCCTTGAGAGCTGGATGTGATACCAGTCTGGGAATCACATATGGGTGTAGTGAGGGTTCTTGGCCTGTCTTCTAGAGAGGGGTGGGCCAGTGGCCCTGTAGCCCTGCTGGACCTTCCCACCTGTGCCTCAGGTGGCAGGATCTGCCCCGCAGCCACCCCTGGGAAAGGTACCAGTTCCAACTTTGAAAACCCCAGGGGAACCAGGCTGACTTTTGGGTTTGAAGATAGCCCTTTCAACTTGTATTTAAAATGGGCGATGGGATGTGCTCCCTGGTCAGTCCACCTTAGTTTGTTGCTGGCCACTGTTCTCACCTTTTACTTCTTCTTGCTCTCCCTTGGCCACCTGGTAAACAAATGTGGCAGAAAGGAGGTGTCTGGGTCAAGGGACCAGCATGGGCAGGACACAGGGATGGGAAAGCACTAAATGTTTCTGGGTCCATCTTGAACCAGGGCAGACCTCCTATAGTGCATGGTGGCCCCTGTCTTTCCAGCTTTGTCACCTATGTGGACTTCCACCCCAGTGGAACATGCATTGCCGCTGCCGGCATGGACAACACAGTGAAGGTGTGGGATGTGCGGACTCACCGGCTGCTGCAGCATTATCATTGTGAGTGGTGAACAGCCTCCTGGGCCTGAGGGCAGCCCTAGTGGGACTGTGCTGGTGTTGGATGTTGTTCTGTGCTGTAGTGCTTAAATGGGACTGAGATGGCCTTGGGCAGGAAGGTATCCTGGGTCTGTTGGGATTCCAGGGGTGAGAGTCTGTGCCCTGGCTGGCCTGGCTTGGAACCTTGGCCAGGAGATGGAGCCTGGTGCTACCTGGCTTTCACTGAGCCTTCGATGCCCATCTCTGAAGTGGCAGAGTCTCACACGTACTGCAGGGCCAGATGGGGAGTCCTCACTGCGGCTCTGGCCAGGGCATGCCACTTGCCTTTCCTGGTGATGGAGGCTCTGCCCTCCAGGGCCAAGGTGACAGCCCTTGACCTGTGGTAAAGGGAACAGGGCTGTCAGTAGAGGCCAGCATTGGTGGGACCATGGCCACCTCTGGTCTTACAGTGTCCTCCACAGATGTAGAGTCGTAGGGAGGGTTGACTTAGCTAGGGGCCAGGCCCAGGATGGTAGCCCTTGGAAGGCAGGGTGGCAGGCAGTGGACATGGGCTCATGCAAGGTTCCAGGTGGGAGTTGGAGGGCGAGGGCAGACTTAGACATGCCCAGGATGAGTTAGCTGAGAGTATTGGGTAGGGAACTGGCCTGAGAGCAAGTATGAGTGGGCAGGGCCACGAGGCACCCCAGTTCCAAGGATGGGCTCAGGGAAGGGAGCTGGTGAGGGGTCATTGGAGAAATTGGGAATTGTGCAGCTGACAAAACAGAGATAAATGAGACTGGACCAGGGAGAGACCAGGAAGGAAGGCAGAGCTGGAGTTGTTTGAAGAACCGTGGTCGTTAACCTGGGACTAAGCTTAAAGTTCTTGGGCTTGCTTCCATAAACCACACCTGAAATGGGAAGTACATGGCTGGACACAGGTGTGGGGCTCCAACACCACCACCCCCCACTCTACCCCTACCCCTGCCACACGCACACCCTTCCTAGCTAACTCTTGGTGTTCAAGGACAGCACTTTCTTTGGGGTAATGGAGGTGAGCACGCCTTTCCAGAATGGGGAGAAGATCCTAGTCTTGCAAAGCACATGGTGGAGAGTGGGCTCCGCAGCCGGCTTTTAAAGCATTCCTGGCCGTGTGATGTTGGGCAGGTCATTTGACTCTGTGGGGCCTCTGGGACAATGATGGGGCCTGTCTCACAGGAGGTGTTGGGAGGGTTAATGAGTTGTTTCATATCAAGAATTGAGAGAGTGGCTGGCACAAAATGAGGGGAAGGAGATACAACGTTAGTGATGATGACAGTGACACTGTCTTGGTCCTGTTTGGTCTGGTGAGGCCAACCTGGTTGGTTAAGGCCTGTAGTACCCTACAGCACCACCAGGTGGCAGGGGCCAGCCGCAAGAACCTGTTTCCCTGCCCCACGCCCCGCACAGGAAACCCTGGGGTTTGTTACCAATGCTCTTTCAGACAGAGGCTTCTGGAATAGAAAAGCAGTGGGGCTTGCCTCCACTTGGAGCCCATACTTCTCCCATCCCTCCTTCAGCCTTCTGCTCTGGGCCAGGCCTGAGTGAAGGGCTGGAGCTCGGGCATGGGGCACATCTGCACAGCTGCCTGGGGAACATGGGCAGGTGCAGAGGAGGGAGGACTTAGACAGGGAGAGATGGGAGTGGAAGGCGATGAGGCAGGACAGCGGTCAGGAGCACATGCTTGGGTTCCTTTCTGTAAAGGAGGTGGCGATAGGCCTTCCTCATGGCTTTGTGAGGCTCTGATGGGAAAAGCCATATAAGGATTATAACACAGGACTGGGTATGTGGTTTGTGCTACATAAGTCCTGACACTGGGTGGAGAGGATCTCTAGGTGACCCTGGCAGGGTCCAGGCCCATCTCTGATGGATCAGGAGCCTGGGCCTGGTGTTCATGGGTATAACAGCAGATGCCCTCTGGGAAGGGCCTCAGATGCCATCTCCAGCTCAGGGTCCCAAAGATGTGGCCTGATTGGCAGTGCCAGGACTGGCCTCATCATTTAAGGTATGAAGGGAAGAAGGACATCTTAGAGGATAGCAGTGTCCAGAGTCTGCTGGGGCTGGGGGCTGGTGTGCCCCATGTGCCCCAGTGATGGGTAGGTGTCTGGCTGTGCCTGGTATCAAAGTGGGGGCTGGCATCAGAGTCGGGGATGGGTTGCAGAGATTGAGTAGAAGCAGAGAAACTGACCCTGTTGGGGTGGAGGGGTCAGCTGGACCCAGGGATCTGGGATATGAGAATGGCTGAGGTCACATTCTGAGCCCCTATAATTGAGGGGGCCACAGAAGATAAAGGTCCACAAAGCAGCCAGAGTGAGAGGTATGAGCCCCGTCTCCCAGCATGGGAGAGCTGAGGAGGGCAGAGGCTGGAGAGCGAAGGAGAGTGGGGTCTCGTGAAGAGGGTTGTCAGGAGGTGGAGCGATGCAGAGCAACCGAGGAGTGGTGGGTACTGGGGAGAGGGAGCCGGGGTCCTGGAGGAAGCAGGCTTGGTGGAGGGCAGGGGCGGATCTCCATGATGGCAGGGTTGGGGAGGTGTGGGTGGACTCAGATGAGCCCCAGGGGCCGAGTCCTGAGTGGAGCTGAGTGTGTGGGCTGACAGGCCCTGCTGGGAGATTGCAGTCTGCTTCTGGCCTTGCCTCTTATGACACCCTCTCAGTGGGCCTGCAGTGTCTCATCCCTAAGCCATCCCTAGTGTAGATTGGAGGCTTAGCGGGATTTGGAGTGCCCATAAACACAGCCGGTTCCCCCTGAGCTCCCTGCTCAATGCCATGGCCAGTAGTGGGTGTTCACAGGATAGCAGACTCATCCCATAGCCTCTAGGCTGACCCTTAGGGGTGCAGTGAGCCAGGTTGATCTGAGCTCCCTGAGTAGGGGGAACATACCTCTCATCCTCTCCTGACGGGAGGACATGACCAGGTCTGCTCTGGTCTTGGGGCTCCCCAGAAAACCTCTAGCTGAAACTAAGGGGAAACCCTTTACCCAAGTGGCTCCCCCACCCCGATAGGTGCAGTAGAATCTCTTTGTAGGCTCATTCCCCAGGAAGGGCTCCCAGTACTCTGGCAAAAGATGCCTGATCTGCTTTCTGTCCTGATCCCTAGGAAACCCAAGGGAAACCTACGGACACAGTGTCATTCAGTGTCTCCCCTAGTGACTCTGGATGGGCAGCAGGCACTTCCAGAATGGCCTTCTGGTGTTGGAGGCTGATGGGCTCTTGTGAGAGGATTTGGTTAATGATACTGCAGTGTGTGGCTAGCAAGCCCCAACCTGCTTGTGTCCAGCCATCCATGGTTGTGCTCTATGAGGGCACTTCCTGTTCCCGCTAGGGTTGGAGTTGAAGCCTGCTTGGGGTTTGGGGCTATTGGAGGCAGCTGGAGCCATTTGTCTTGCGCTGGCTGACTCTCCTGCCAGACAAGGAGTTTCTTGGCTCTAGCCTATCACTGCAGAGAGCAGTTCTGATTTCTCAATTCAGCAAGGAGTTGATGGACTGGTGGAACCCTTTGAATGCCAATCCCCGTGGTGATGGGTTAGCTCCATATGCTCTGAGCCCACGTTAAGACTGTTCAGGCATCTGAGCAGCAGCCCCCATCCCAGAACCTGTAATGTGCTTCGTGGCTTATAGCACGTGCAGGTCCATTATCCAGTGACAGGCCTGAGTGGCCAGCAAGGTAGGTCTACTCTCCATTTCACAGATGCAGAGCATGCAGCCCACAGTCACACAGCTGTGGGTCTGAGTCCCCAACTCAGGGCCTTTGAGTCTGGCATTCTGTTGACCGTCTCACGCTGCGCTCCTTGCACTTCAGTGACTCTAGTCATTTACTCCCCAGGCTCCTTGGGAGAGGTGGTCTCTTTGGCTGGCTGTCAGCAGGGCTAAGAACTCATAGAGTCCCACGCTCTCTGTCCATTGGTCTTTAGTGCACCCCTGCACCCCTGCCTGGCCTCATACATGGTCATGGAGGGTTTTGTCTTTTTTTTTTTTTCTTTCAGAGATGGGGTTGGGGTCTCACTGTATTGCCCAGGCTGGTCTTGAACTCCTGAGCTCAAGCAATCCTCCTACCTCGGCCTCCCAAACTGCTGGGATTACAGGCGTGAGTCACCATGCCCAGCTGGAGGGTTTTAAGTGGTTGCAGCTAGCAGGGCAGGGCTGTACCCTGTAATTGGTGTTTTGAGACTAAAAGGGTTGATTGGGGTACAGTGGTGCTGTCCCACCTGGTCTAGCCAACCTACTCTCCCACCGTCCTGAAGTGAGCATTTACACGGCATTTAAAAAGAGGAGTGTTTTAGGTGTCCTTTGCTGCTGGTATCAGAGAACCTTTGTGGTATGAATCCAAAGCCTCTTGTCAACCCAGAGCCACCATGTCACTGGTAACACCAGTTGCACATCGCAAGAGACCACCCTGGGGAAAATGAGTGGTCCTTTTGTGGAAGGATGTTAGGGTGGGGCTTGGCCCTGGCATGGTCTCCTCCAGAGAGGTACCTCCTGCTTGGGCACCCAGGCTTTCTCTGGGCCCTTGGCTGGTTTGGAGCCCATCAGGTAGTGGGCCTAGATTTGCCCAGGCCTCTACATGCAGAGTAGCATGGAGTGGGTGTACTCAGGTCTCTGCTTAGGCCACCTGCTGCCCACAGCTATGACTAGTTCTTGGTATTTGGGAGCAGGGGCTGTGGTGGCCTCGTCCCTGGGCCCCTGAGGATCTGTAGAAGTTTGATGTTGGTGTATCTCTGACCTGGAGTCAGGGTTCTCTCTTTGGGGTGGAGATGGGATAAGAGCCACAAGCTCACAGCTGCCATCCAGGTGGCAGTGTGTGTCATCACTGATATCTGCCATGGAGCCAAGAAGAGGCCTGCGGCCTTGGACTTGACAAAAAGTGGATCATTCTCAGACATTTGGTGCTCAAGGCATCATGACCGAAGGCTCATGCCCTCATGGGGCAGCCTAGCCTCCATGGTAGACTCTCGTGCAGGGGTGGTTCTTACAATGATGCCTCCATAGACTACCCACTCTCCACCACCTCCACAGAGGCAGGAGGAGTGAGAGTGGAGGCTGGCGTGGCCAGTGGATGAGGCAGGAGAGCAAGTGGGGAAAGGTGGGGTGGGTCCCGGTGTCTGGGGCATCCCCCAAAGCCTGGTATGCCAGGCCAGCCCCTCTTCTGGAGTAAATGGTTCTAGGTGTTTCTACCCAGGCTTGGGTATTCCTGACATTTACGTGGAGTGGGGCTTCTGTTGCCCTTCCTCTGGGAGAGATTCTTTCCGTTGGATGGACTTGACCAGGTGGGGGCCCCTGGTGTGGCATCAATACATTGACCCTGCCACCCTGGTGGTGCTGGGAAGCCCAGAGCTCCCTGAGCATGCCTTCCCTTCTGCACCATCCTGCCACCGGCTGTTCCTCTGCCAGCTTCTGGTCAAGGAGGTGTGGGGGTGGCCTTCATCCCAGTGCAGACTTTGTGGTGGGGGCGATCTCTGAAATCTGCCCCCGAGAGCTGGCTTCAGAGACCCCACTGGTCCCTCTCCAGGCTGCCTCCTGGAGATCCTGGCACTTGGAGGGTGTTGTTCAGATATAAATATCATGTTACATAAAACCTTGGCTGTCTCCCCCTAAGTGTGCCTGGTAACATGTATCCAGACTCCCCGGCACATCAGCACATCAGCTGGGCTGGCATCTGAGGGACTGTGTGCACCCTGTGGGCCTTGTTGAGGGCCGTTTCGTGTTGGGTGTGTTTACCAACCCAGTAGTTCTTGCAGCCTCTCAGTGCTAAGACGATGGTTGGTTTTGAGTCTGCCTTTATGTTGGTGGCAATTCTGACTTGGCAGGGTCATGGTTATTTTAGCCCCACTGGTTTTCCTCATCGGGCCTGTGGTAATGGGAAGAAAGACACTGGGGTTTTCCTCAGAAGCCACCCTAGGAGGCTGTGATGCAGCTGATCCATGCATTGGCTGTGGAGTTGCTCTGTCCGCATGTAGACTGCCCAGGTCTGCCCCCAGCTTCACCTAGAATATGCTCTTGGCCTTGAGGGAGGGTTGTGTAACCTGCTGGAGCTTCTGGATACCCAACTTAAGCACCTGCTCACCAACCACTTTCTGAGTCCTGCTCGGTGCCAGGCACTGAGTTGGGAGCCAGGGACTCAACACCGCCCCTGCCTGATGGAGTTCATGGTCTCATGGGAGATCCAGATGTGAGTCAGATAGTTGCATGTAAATGTGACGAGTGAACCGATGGCAGGCTTATGGTGTTTTGGAAGGACAAATGAAGGGGGTTGCCCTAATCGGGAGGCCAGGGGAGGCTTCCTGGAGGAGGTAGCTTCCAGTACTAAGCTTTAAGATCAGGGAAAGGGGAGGGCAAGAGTCTCCCAGGCCCACTGGAAACAAGGAGTAAAAAAGTTCTGTGACTGGGGGAATTGACACAGCTGGGGTGGCCGGATCTTGGAGTGTGGGGGACACCAGAAAAGATGATGGGGTTAGGCTGGGATGATAGGGAAAAGAGAGTCATGGACAGGGCCAAGCTGTTGAGTAGGTGATGTGGCAGGACCTGGGGTTACATGGAACATAGAGGGCAAAGGAGAGGAACATCCGTGTTGGCATTGGATGGCTCACTCTGCAAAGGCCTCATGTGCTTAACTTAGTAGCATCCCCACAGCACCCCTTACACATGGGTGCTCTGGTACAGATGGAGAAATTGAGGCTCAGTGTAGTCAAGATGCTTGCTCAGGATGGATGTGGTGGCTCACGGCTGTAATCTGAGCACTTTGGGAGGCCGAGGCAGGCGGATCACCTGAGGTCAGGAGTTTCAGACCAACCTGGCTAACATGGTGAAACCCCAACTCTACTAAAAATACAAAAATCAGCTGGACAGAGTGGCACACCTGTAGTCTCAGCTACTCAGGAGGCTGAGGCAGGAGAATCTCTTGAACCCAGGAGACGGAGGCTGCAGTGAGCTGAGATCGTACCACTGCACTCCAGCCTGGGCGACAGAGTGAGACTCTGTCTCTCAAAAAAGGTCATGGGGTGAGCGCAGGGAGGAGGCTTGGGGTTGGAACGTAGTCCTGACTGGTTCCTAAGAGTGTCTTAGCTTTCTGCTCATCTGCCCCCACACATGCCCTCCCTGTATGGTAGTGGCATTGTATTGACATTTCAAGGGTTTTATTTTCCATTTGGTTTCTTTAAAGAAAGAATATATCAGATAGACCAAAGGCTATGTTTGTATGTTTGAGTGCTCTATTCTGCTCCAGCTTGACCGCTTGCTGTGGGAGAGGATGGAGGAATCGTCTGCTGCCTCTGGTTTTTGCATCCGTTTCTGTCTTCCTGTCTTCTACTGCCTGCCCTTGGCTCTGAATGGGCCTTTTCCTGTTCTTTGATTGTGCCCCTCTCCTGGGAAATCCTTGTTGGGTTCCCCACAGCTCTTTTGAGCAATGACCATCCTGACCCAGCCCCATCAGGGCTGTGCTGAGCCTCAGTTGGCCCTGATTGCCTGTCCCGGGCTTCAGCTGTGCTCCCTGTGCCTCCCAGCCAGCACCTGACTGATGTCCTTCCCCTAGTGCACAGTGCTGCAGTGAACGGGCTCTCTTTCCACCCGTCGGGAAACTACCTAATCACGGCCTCCAGTGACTCGACCCTGAAGATCCTGGACCTGATGGAGGGCCGGCTGCTCTACACACTCCACGGGCATCAGGTGAGAGGTGTCGGCCGGGTGCTGAGTGGTGTGGAGTGGTGGTACCCTCACAGTCTGGGCAGTGGGCAAGATGCAGAAACAGGCTTGTCACCCACACAGCCTGCAGGGAGATGGATGGAGGCCTTTCCCTGTGACCTGGGCAGATTGCTGGGCCTGGGACTGGTGCAGCTGAGAAGGGTATATAAGAGTTGAATTGGTCAGGGGTTGGGGGCTGTATCTGGGCATGGTTAGCAAGCTGACCCCTAGGGGCCTGAATGGAATCTATCCCCTAATGGCCTCAGCTATCCCTTGGTCCAGAGGTTGAGTTGAGCCTTGGAACCCATACTCTGAGTTGACATCGGGGTTTTCTGGAGGCCCTCGGACTGGCAGACATCAGTGTGTCTGGAGACCAAGGCAACCTCAGGTGTCTTGCAGAGGCTGAACCGAAGAAGGGAAATCCTCTTTATGTTTGTTGTTTGAGAATTCCTGGAATGGAATCAAGGAAGCAGAGGCCTCCTTTCTGAGTGAGCTTCAAAGCAGCCAGTTCCCTGGTCTCCCTGGGTGGGCTGGGCCTCTGGGGGCCGGCTGTGGGGAGTAGGCCACATGCAGTTCTCCCCAGGAGCTGGCCTGGCTCCGGGCCTTTCACATCTAATACTCCGACTAGGAAGTAGTGTCTGAGCCTTCGTGACCAGAGCAGTTGTCAGAATGTCTCCTGTTGGGGTGTAGTCACCATGCCCACTTGGGATGGGAGGTCTGGAGTCCATTGAATTCAAGTTTGTCTCTAATCTGCCTGCCAGGCTGAGGGAGGCCCTGGGGGTGCTTATGTGTCTTGGACCATCAGCTAGGTGTGAGGTGTCTAGCCTGGTGCTTTCTGAGCTGTTGTTTGTGTTTCCACTGCCATCTGAGTTAGGGCACCTGGGGGCCATTTGACTATGACTAGGGGTTGAGGACATAGGCCTTTTCTTCTGGTTCCTCAGGGCCTGGAGGCTGCTTGCTGCCCCCAGCCTTGTTGTGACCCCTTGCCTTCCCTGTCAGAGACATATCCAGTGCGCAGGACTAGTGGGCCTGTTCTCCCTAGGCCAACACATCCAGAAGGGGTGGCTGCTGGCCCTGGTGTAAGCCTGTTCACGAGCCAAGCCCTTGGACAAGCCAGTTACTCAGATTCATGTGTTACTGTTTGGGATCTTATGCCCAGGAGGGCATTTGCAAATCATGTGAATGCTGCTACCATTCCTGCTCCCCTAAAAAAAAAAAAAAACAACTCAGAAACAGTTTGAAACAGATGCCTATCAAGTGATCACCTCTTTTTGTGAGTGTTCCTTAAATAGCTAACTCACGCTTAGTCTGAGAACACTTGAATGTGGGATCTAAAATCTAAAATGTCATTCCTGGTGTTCTGGCATCGCATCCGGCACATAAACGAAAGCTATCGACATTGTTCTTTCTGGGAAGTGAAGCAAGGACCATGGCGCATTCCCTTGTGTGGTCGCTTGTCTGCCGTTAAACCTAGAGAAATGGGAACCTGGCCGAGGGACAGCTGATGGTTTGGGGTGTGGATAGGGCTGGGTCATTTCTTCTTCAGGGCACCAGGCTTACAATGCCCAGAGGAAAGGAGAAGACAAGAAACGAACTGACCTCTGTTCATTTTGCCATCTGTCTGTTTGTTCATTCATCATCGGCTCTCTAGCTCATGGGTCTGGGCACCGGGGATAGGAAATGGATGTTATAGCTCTACTTCCTGGGCTTCCTGGCCTGGGCAGAGGGGGACTCCACAGGGAGGCTGACAGAGCTGAAGGCAGCATGAGACAAGTTAGGCTGGCTGAGAGGTAGGCTGAATCTTAGGAAGTACTTGGAGGGCAGGTGAAGGTGGGTAGGCCCTGCTCATCTCCCAGGGTACAGCTCAGATGAAGGTGGGAGTCAGGGTATGAGCCTTGAATTATTTTCTGCTCCCAGCCCCCTAAACTCCCTATCAAATACAGGAACTCAGGATTGATTTACCACAAGTTTTAGGGGCTCTTTGTCTTGGGATACTGATGACACCCAGCCCCTCTGTGGGACACTTCAGGTATCCAGGTGTAGGAACCCCTGGGCCTGGCTTGCTCAGGGTTCTACAAACTGATTCCAGAAGACAAATTGCCCAGGGCCACCCTGACTCTGCCCCTACCTCTGCACTTGCTTTAATCCTTGCTCCTTTCTAGAGGTTGATTCTCTCCCATCCCTCCTCTTTAAGACCCATGGTCAGACCAAGCATGCACTCCAACTGGTGGTGGCAACTCAATACTGGCCTGGGTTGAAAGGTCCCGCTGCGGACAAACCTGGCCCAGTTCCTGTGCCCCTCCCACCTGCAGTGTGGGTTGCTGCCTTGAGAGAGCTTTCTTTTGGGGTCCTTACTAATGATGTGCAGCAGCATAATTGAAGAGCCAGGCTGAAGGCTGAGGTAGGGGTGTGAGTGTGTTAGCACGTATGGGGCAGGGATGCCCAAGCGAAGGCCTTATTTACTTCCAGCAAAGACCAGCTCACCTCCATACCACAGCCTGGCACCCCGGGACCCAGGTCTGCCAGGGTTTGTTGTGGCTCCTTGTCATGCTTAGCTCTGCCCCTGGGTTTGGAGTGACTCAGAGTCAGCTAATGGGCTAGGTGCGGTAGCTCACGCCTGTCATCCCAGCACTTTGGGGGGAGGCTGAGGTGGGAGGATTGCTTGAGCCTGGGAAGCTGGGGCTGCAGTGATCTGTGATTGTGCCACTGTACTCCAGCCTGGGTGACAAAGCAAGACACTGTCTCAAAACAGAAAACCCTCCAAAACACAGAGTCAGCTAATGGTGGCTTCCTAAGGGAGCATAGTGCAATTAAGCAGCCTTAATTTGGGCATTTGGTTGAGATACAGGGTCCACTGACTGGGCAGAATACCTAGTGCTTATGGAGATCTGTGGCTAGGATCAGAGGCGGCTTTGCTCCAGCTGGGGGTAGAAATCCGTAGGGGCTGGGCCTGTGTTGTCATGCAACTGGTTCCAAGGATGTTCATGACTGTTGAGGGCCTGGCTGGGGGGCCACATCACAGGGGCCTGCTGACAAAGGGGCTGGGTTCTGCCTGGGCGCTCTGTAGCAGGTGTAGAGTCCTCATGGGCTCCCACTCACCCAGACCTTCCAGGAAGATGTGCAGCTGGTTCTTTGGTGACTACATCTTTCACATTCTGTTCCGGGAGGTGGCAATGTGGTGGGGTCCTGGTGGCCAAGGGCTTGATGGAGTGCAGCTGCTATCGGCCACTTCCTGAACTATGTGGCTGAGCAGCCCGGGGCTCCTGAGTGGGTCTCGGGTGCCTGAGGCTTCTGTCCTATGGATAAGGAAGATGGCAGGTTGGAAAGCATTTTTTTTTTTTTTTTGAGTCCAGGTGGTGAAAATGAGAGCTGTCTGGATTAGTAGGGCGTCTTGTGACTCCTAGTGTGCCAGAGCTGGGACAAGTACCTGCGTCTATGCAATTTCTATCACATGTACATATGACTTTTAAAATTCCATTTGTAATTTCACTCTTGTTTCATTCATTCATTCATTCTTTCAGAGACAGAGTCTCGCCCTGTTGCCCAGGCTGGAGTGTAGTGGGGCGATCTCGGCTCACTGCAACCTCTGCCTCCCGGGTTCAAGTGATTCTCCTGCTTGAGGCTGAGGCTTCCCAAGTAGCCGGGATTACACAGGCACCCGCCACCACACCCGGCTAATTTTTGTATTTTTAGTAGAGATGGGGTTTCATCATGTTGGTCAGGCTGGTCTCAAACTCCTGATCTCAGGTGATCCACCTGCCTCGGCCTTCCAAAGTGCTGGGATTATAGGCCTGAGCCACTGCATCCGACCTTCTTGTTCTTATTTATTTGTTTTTATTGGGGTAACGTATATGTATATAATTCACCATCTTTACCATTTTTAAGTGTACAGTTCAGTGGTAATAAATATATTCTCTTTTTTGCACCCCTTCATTCCCTGGCTCCCCTTCCCCATCCCAGCCCTGGTAACCACCAGTCTAATCTGTCTTCATGAGATCCACATAACTCCCACAGATGTCACTCTTGTGTTTAGCTCACAGGTCTGGGTAGGGAACCAGCAGGCTTATGTTGGCTTGTGTCCCCATCTTGCTGCTACATGACCCCATTCTGATCCAGCAGAAGGGAGCCCCATGAAACTTTGGTTTGGATGCAGAGGACCTGCTGTGTCCTCAGAGTTGGCTTGGGAGAGCTGTGGGAGAGAGGGCCACTGAGTCTTAGGGCCAGTGGGGCAGCAACTCCCTTGTGCTTCCATTTCTGCATCTGAGAAGTGGACAGTGTAGGCTGGGGGTAAGCAGCAGTGAGGTCAGCCACAGAGAGCTGCTGTGGGATGAGGCAGACCTTGACCCGAGTGTGGGGGCTCTGCAGGTGCCAGGAAAAGGGCCCCAGCAAGCCCTCTGGGGAAACTGTGGGGGAGGTTCAGGATAGAGAAAGGAGGGTCAGGGTGCAGTGCTGTTGGGCTGCAACTCTATTGTCTGAGTTGAGGCCAGACTCACCCCAATGTACCTTTCAGTTGTCTCCTAAGGTACAGAGAGCTCCAGGACAGAGGAACTTGCCAAGTGCCGGCTAAGATGAGGATCACCCAGTGTAGTCCTGGGTCTCCTGGGCTGGACCTGTGTGCTGGTGTTGAGGGCAGCTCATCAGCCAGGCATCAGCGTGCAGGTGGTTTGGTGGCTCTCTAGCACATGAGTGGCACACATCGGCCCATTTGAGAGGCCTTTTGTTTGGGCAGGCTCACTTTGTGAAAGTAAGGGGTTGTCTTAGTCTGTTCTGTGCTATTGTAGTAAAATACCTGAGACTGGGTAACTTATCAAGAACAGAAAGTTATTTCTCAGTTCCAGATGCTGGAAGTCCCAGATCAAGGTACTAGCATTGGGGAAGTCTGCTGTCTGCTTCTGAGATGGGACTTGAATGCTGCGTCATCTGAGGGGAGTAACACTGTCCTCACATGGAGAAGGTGGAAGGGCGGAAAGGGCCAAACTCCCTTT